TTTCTGCTCGTTCGGTTCATGTGTAACTCGGATTTTTAAAATAGGGAACAGAACAAGAAAAAAATTAAAATATGATAAAAGTCTACTTTTTCGATTTCTTTTTCGATGGGGCTTTTTTTGTATAAAATCGGTTACTCACTCAGTTTTTAGACTCTAAAGTTTGAAAACTTGGGTTTATGGGTAACTTTGAACGCTTTATCTAATGAGATCATAAAAATCGTTTTAATTTTGACCATGCTACGGGTACTTTGAGTGATGTTTGATATCCTTTACGAATCCTCCCTTAAGATATCCCTAAAGAACAAAAAAGTAGAGTATCATGAACACTGTTTCAAAAGAATTGCTCAATGTGTTGAATGAAACTGTTTTCTGGCCTCATGAAATTTTTTGAAAAAACCTGAAAAATTTTAGGCGCTCACCTGAAAAACCTGGCAGGTATTTCGAATTTTTCACTCTCACCCCTGTAATACTATAAGAATAAAAAAATATAGAGGAAATATGGGAAAGCTTTAATCTCGATTAGTCTCAAACCCAAAGCGCAACCAAAGAATATTTATTTTGAATACGGTGCTATGCATCAAAGTGGAATCGAAGTGCATTTTCTGGTGCTCTGGAATGAATGGTTGCGTAAAGGTAACTTACAAAATAAGTTACAACTTGTAAGCATACACCACCGTCTCAGCGCTTCTCTTATGAGAAGGAAAAAATGAAGTCAAAATGACATTCGAAAGATGGACGTTTAAACACCAAACGGTGATTAAAAAATAAAAAGTGGTACCAGTGCGCATCAATGTCAAATAAAATGACTTTTTGTTAAACATGTATAAAAATCATTTTACTTTTCAATTCTCTTTAAACTAAACATTCGTATCACTAGTGGTGCTTTTAAACTGAAACATTTACATACAGAATATGGCTATACCACCATGAGTATAGCCAGGTGTTAGTACGCAGATGACTGTATATTTTAGTTAGCTAATGGAGCGCCAGAAATAACATCATGATCGTACTAGAATGAAAGCTCCGAAACGATTTTTCTGGTTTCTAGCTGAAGAGCTGACATTTTGTATATGAAGCTGATTCTTTCTGATCCGAAAAGAGGACACTTCAGACGTCTGGACCAGCGGGAAAAAAGGAAAAAGCATTTTCTAGAGCAAAACTTTGGACTTTTCCAAACTTTGCTAGGCTAAATTTTCTAAGGGAAATATTTTCGGAAAACTCTATTTTACTTGGATAAATGTCCCTGGTGTCTGAAAACCGCAGATAATTCAAAAATGATATAAAAATCGTACAGAAATCGGATAAATACTTCCACATAAATGACGTTAAGCTAATGTCATAATCAGCATTATTGAATGATCATTTTTTGCGTATTTTTCCGACTTGATCATTAAGGGCCAATTTTTATGTCATTTTTAATAGTGATCATAAAATGACCAAGAAATGAGATCATACTCAGATCATTTTTCTACCATTAAATGATCATTCATTGATCATCCTTCTCTCATATTATTAATTGGCCATTAATATCTCATTTGCATTCACCTGGGCGGACTTTTTCACTATCCTTGCTCTATATATTTTTATCGTTCTTTATTTTTAGGAAAAAGACGTGTGTTATTTCGTGAACAAGTGATAAAGTTGTTAGTTTCAAGTTTCATTAATTATGGAAAACGAAATTGTCACCCGATTTCAAATCGTCAGCTGAACGAAAGATTTAAACACAAATACTTTATTGTTCGTCAGAAAATTGATCCAGTATTAAATTATCTGTAAGTTGAACCTAACTTCCTATTATCTCTTCTGATTTTGTTTTATTGAATATAGCCAGGTGTTAGTGCGAAGATGACTGCGTATTTTAGTTAGCTAATGCAGCGCCAGAAATAACATTATGATCGTACTAGAATGAAAGCTCCGAAACGATCTTTCTGGTTTCTAGCTGAAGAGCTGGCATTTTGTATATGAACTTATTTTAGAATGTATCATTTGACATTCTGGGGATACAGCTGTACCAATCCTTCAGAGCTGTTCAAATGCTAAGCATCACTGTCACACAAGCACTACATTTATTTAGAGCGACGAACAACAATACATGTAAACAAATAAAAAACATAAAATTGTTTTTTTTCTAAAAAGTAAAATATAAGAGTAGAGGCATTTTTTTCGAATTATCTGTCGTTGTGCTGGTGAATTTTCCAGTTTTCTGTTTATAATTTCAGTTTTGTTCGTTTCCAGTGACGTCGGGTGAGAATTATAATCGTATTATCTGTACGCAGTCTAATCCATGGCGGTATCTCAAGAAGAGAGAAAGAAAAGTACTTAATAGATGTTTAGATAAAATACACTAGTCGTACAAGTCGATTTTGTTTCATCTTTTTGGCTATAACCTTTTTAAATTTCAATATCGTGTGCGCAGCCATAACTAAATATAAAGGATTCAAATCAAGAAACTAAAAAGTGATGATATATTGGTTCATACATGTAATACTCCCTATAAATAACTTTTAAAATAACGGTAGTTCGATAGTAGTTCAATTATTAATCTATAAAGATCCAATAAAACCAAGCTTAAACAGGCAATTCAGGCGGATTCATTTTTGTTTCTCAGATTAGATAAGAATTAAAGACGACCAATTTATATTCAGGAATTAATAGAAGTGTACCGAAAAAAACAAGCCAACAAAAACCTTCATAGGAAAAACGAGCTCTGTACGTCGTCCATTACCAGATAGCTAGCGAAAAATCTTTTATTGAATAAACAGCATTCTTTCGAAATATCATCCAGTTACTTAGAATGAAAGACACATAGACAGTTCTGCTGTAGGTTTTCTGCTAAAAATTTAAATAAAGTAACAAAATAAAAACGTAAACAAAGCAGAGTGAGTATTCAACAGAGAAAACAGGAACTTTTTTCCAATTATTGCGTCAACAAACTGCATAGGGTTTTGGAAGCTTTCCATTGCTTTGTGTATATAAAAAAAGTTAAATGAGCAAATCGCCACCGGGAACCTAAAGTCATCATCTTTCAGGCCGTTGTGGAGTATCACGAACACTATCCAACGCTGAAAGCCACTCACGATGGGCTAGAAAAAAAACATCTAGATATGCGAAAAGAGTCGTACACTTTAAGAGAAATATTCTTACCACGTCGACTAGAATTATGTGTATCAGCCATTTTCATTAATCTAAATAAAAATATATCAGAAATATTAGAAACAAACAGTGAACACTAATATTGCCTCGATTGAAGAGCATGAATGGCAACGCCAAGTGATATAATAATCACGATTATTGTCAAAGAGGGAAATAAATAAAATCCTTGTCTAGTAGGATTGTAATGACCGTATCGTTGTCGAGCTTTATCTTCATCTTGCTGTTGTTTTTCACGATTGCGTTCCATTTGCTTTCGTAGCATTTCCGCAAAACTCGAATCCCAGTGTGGCGACGATCCCCTAGAAAACAGACATGTTTCTGATTGTTGTTTCAGTATTACATACTGTATATGAGCATATCCACCTTACCAGTCAAAACCATGTATTGTGTGTTGTTGCTGCTGATACTGTTTTCGTTGTCGACTGATGTTTATAAAAGGATCTTCATTTGGATAAGACGATGATGAAGACTCATATTGTCGCCGATGGGCAAGAGCTTGTGAATTGTTTAGCACTAGAAGTATAGAAAACATGGTGATCTAATTTATGAAACATGCAAAAGTAAAGGCATATACTTTGATCATAAGTCGTTCTCGATGATTGTTTACTAAGAATATTATATGCTTCATTAATTTTAACAAATTTTCCATGTAAACTTTTATCGTTAGGATTTGAATCTGGATGATACTTAATTTAAAAGTGGACGCTGTATGAATAATGGTCAAATTTCCTTGTAACAATTATGAAAACGATTCGAAAAAGAGAAGCCATTCCCATTGATCTTTGTATATACTAGTTAAGCTTCCCATTTCCATAAATAATGTTAAAATATTTAGACTACAACGATCATTCCCTATGCAAATGTTGATGATTCGCTGCTGTCTGTGTTTGTTTTAGTCAAATTCTTTGTGAACTAGCTCGACAACATGGATGAGTGATTTACGAATATTTTAATTAGTACGTACTTCTTTTGACAACTTGAAAAAAGCTTGTTTTATTTGTTTTTGTGTTGCCACTTTTTCTATTCCTAACAGATCATAAAAATTTTTTGAATTAAGATTTGCGGTTTTAAAACGACAAGCTGTAAAGAGAAAATACCTAAAATTTAACAGCAAAAGCAGACATAACGCAGATTGACCAAATGTTTTCAGTTATCGTTTACTAACCGATATGGTATATATCGGTATTCCCATGCTATAGTGTGATTTAAACAGTATGATTGCTGATGCCACCGTTCCACTACACGATGATATCTAAACATTTCAGCATTGCATCGTATGTGTAGTATAATCACTGCTTATTATCATAAATCTGAAATAATACCAAAGTCCAACGGCAGAATATTTATTTACGGCAGAATTTAAGGTTCTAGTAGTTTTCTAGAATGAACATTCGAAAGTGCAGTATTTTTTAAACAAGAGTGTCCGAAAAAAATCGCCATAGATTTATTCGTTTAATATATTACAAACTTCTTAGTTTGACAGTAAAATTATTTGAGACTAATTCAGCCATGAAAGAAAAAGCCATAGGAAGTAAAATATATCATAATCAAAGATCTTCCGTAGTGAATGTACTTGCATAAGAGTACTTACCTCAAGTGCTCTCGCACGGTTTTGTCCAACCGTCCTACGATTTTTCGCAAGTAAATGAAGTAAGCGCTTAAATTACTGATCAGCGGTGACAACAGGGCATGCTTTACATTTATCTCTTCGAATGACGGAACGAAACTCACTTTAGACCTCAAACAAATATAAACACCAACAAAAAAAAGCATCATCAAAAAAGAACAGCTGTAGCCATGAACCGTTTGGTTACGTAATTTAGTTCGCCACATATCATTACAGTTCAGTTGCCTATCGAGAAGCAAAAAACTAAGAAGATTGTTCATAGGATCAAAATAGATTGTTTCCTTGACTTTAGTCTAGGGTCTTACAAAATGGTTGTCTGTGTGTGTGCGTTGATACAAGTTATCCGCTAATACAATAGTACCTGCCAAAAATGGCCGCCGTCGATAAATTTTTTTCTTTCCTTTCTCACTGTTCGTTGAATAAGATTTCATGCAATGTCTTTACAGTTCAATAGATGTCGCATGATTCTGAACATGGCCTTCGAGCGCAGATATTACACACATGGTAAAAAGCATTTAATTTATGTTTTATGTAATATCTTCGCGTGAAGGGAAGACTTCAGATTAGATGTTAGACGATTCATTGTATCTTATTAATAACGCGCATCTTATCGCATGAAACCTTGAGCATGAAATACGTTTTTACTCTAGTCATTGTGAATTTTTTGCCAATTCGGTTTAAATAGTATCGTTCATATGCTGGTTCTGAAACCGTGAAACAAGATTAAAAAAGATGAAGGAACCAGGAAAAGAAACATCCGGATGGACTGAGACACTTTTAATAACTACTGGTTGAATAACTACACATACTTTAGCATATATTAAAACGAAAGACGAACGGAAGAGAAAAAAAACGAAAAATAAGAAGTTGATCTAACGGCCAGGGAAAAAAGTGCTTCCTTTCGTGATTCTTAGACGTTTTTTTTCGGCAGCTTCACTTTGCCTTAAATATATTGCAAAAGAATCGCAATCAATAATTCCATTCAGCTTGAAATATTACATTGAAATATTGCATAATAAATTCTAATCACTAGTGTAGTCTACAGTAAGTGCATTTAGAATATTTCAAGCTCAAATTTATTTTGAATGGGTAATTATTGATTGCGATTCTTTTGCAATGTATTTAAGGCAAAGTGAAGCTGTCGAAAAAAAAGCAACGGCATCCCTTGGCCGTTAAATCAAATCATTGTTGCTGTATATATAATAAAAGAAAGTGGCAAACCACAATGTGATAAAGGAAACCGAATAAACAGTAAAATTTATACTCGTTCTACAGAACCAGTATAAATTTTACACATATAACAGTTTATAGACTGATAGTAATCAGGATCTAACATACCATCCATGAATCCTTTCGTAGAGGACAAAATAGATAGTGTACGTGGAGATGTTATATATAAAAAAAAGTTGTTTAAAGTTGCCAGTTTTAAAGTTGCCAGTAATCCGAATTTGCAGAACTATTTTTTTAACTTTCATTTATACATGGTTGGATAAAGCTCGTCGAGCTGAGTAAGAAAAAGTGGTTTTTAATTTCTTAAAAATTCTTTTAAGGAAGAAAAATTGAAACAACTTGAAGAGTCTAAAATTTCGAAAAACCCTTCGGTTTCCAAAAAAGTCGAGTTGTTTTCTTTTTCGTTCTTCTGACTTTTCGAAAGTATTTTTTCGGATTCAGCATTAAAAACTGAGTATGAGAATGATGCTTAGAAGAGTTAGAAGAACGAAAAAGAAAACAACTCGACGTTTTTGGAAACCGAAGGGTTTTTCGAAATTTTAGACTCTTCATACTGTTTCAATTTTCTTCCTTAAAAGAATTTTTAAAAAAATTAAAAACCACTTTTTCTAACTCAGCTCGACGAGCTTTATCCAACCATGTATAAACGAAAGAAAAAAAAATAGTGCAGATTGGTATCAAGATATATCTGGATAATACTCGGTGTTGGAAAGTATAGCGATAAAAAATCTATCATATCCGTTGTCACACCGGGATGTATCGCTGCTGCATCGATATACGGGATATATCTGCCTAAAACCATAATCGGCGCATATCGCCCTGTAATGTTTATCCCGACATATCGCAGTGTGACAACGGATACAATAAGTTTTTTATAGCGGAGAAGACGCTTTTTTCTATCGGAAAAGTCCTCATGGGTCTGCGCTTGAATTAGAGTTTTATGATGAAAGACCATTGGATAGGAAAAATTTATAAAAAAGG